GTCACAAAGAGATACTTAGTACAGAGTACATGGAATTCCCCATCTCCCTGGACCGGTAGAAGATCTTATCTTCAAAGCTGACAGTTTAGAAATTTGGGTATTTTTTAAACCTAAAGCACTCATTAGTTCAAATGAAGACCTCAGTTCAATTCAGGTCATGTAGCTGCCATCAGCTAAGGAAATGGAAAAACAAAAAACAAAAAACACAACTCCAGTATTGCCAACAGGTCAAGTCCTATAAATTAATACCCGAAACAACAATTCTTATCTATATGAAAGTCATGGTCTCTTTAAAATAAAATGAAAACTGAAATTTCTCCCCAAGCAAAACAAACAAACAAATAAATAAATTACAGGCAGAGACAGTCCTTTTAACTCTATTCAGAGGATTCAAAACCATTTTATACCATTCAGGAGGAAATACATACTAAACTCCTGAGAGGAGGGGTCCACAAACCCCAGGTTAAGAAATGCTAATCTAGAAATATCCAGAAAGAAGGCAGTAAAGGAATGCCTATTGCATTCTGTTCAAAATCCAACAAGAGTTGAGTACAAATCAGGAGGGGTCAGATTTTACTTAAAACAGAGTTTAGTTTAATTTAGTGTATTTATTCTAGGACTTGTGTGCTGAGTTTTCATCTTTGGGTAGATAAAATCATTTGGGTTTTTTTTTAATCCTCACCCGAGGAGAGAGAGAGAGAAAGAGATCATGTGAAAGGGACACATCTAGTGGTTGCCACCCACACGACCCAACCAGGGCTGGGGACAAACTGCAACCGAGGTACGTGCTCTTAGCGGGAACCGAACCCGGGTCTCTATGGACCACAGGTTGACGCTCTAACCGCTGAGCCAAATTGGCCAGGGCAAATCTTTTGATTTTTGAAGCAGAACAAATGAGTAGATCATCTATTCCACAAACACTGAGGAGGAAGGAAAGCGGCTCTAAGTTGACACGTTAGGCATAATGTTTTGGAAACTGCAGCTTGAGAGACCGGAAGCACTGATGCTCCAAATGGAACTTCAGAAAACGACCCTCTTCGTCCCTCTGTCCCTTCCATGAAACAAGCAGGGGAGGGAAATGGTTCCCAAATGCGAAAGCCACGAAGACGACGATCGGGCAGATAAAGCTTTCAACAGCTGTATTTTACTGGTGGTTCCTATACAGTCTTCTTTATAAATCGACTCAGCCTACAAAGTTCCTCTGGTTACAAATTGTAACATGAAAAAAAGTTGTTGTTTTTTTTCCATTGCATATCTAAGTTGCAACGTGTATGTTTAAATATATGCTCTTTGTCCTCTGGGAAATGAAACCAGAAATCAGGAAATGTTAGCACCTCCAAGACCTGTCCATGTCATTCAGTCTCCTCCTTTCTACAGATGAAGACACAAGTAGAATGACCTGCTCGAGGTCACGCAGCTACTTAATGTCAGAGCTGGGACTCGGTCCAGGCCGGCCCGACTCTCTGCATTGTTTTCCCAGCCACACTGCGCCGGTCCAGCAGCTGTGCCTTCTACATGCAAGTTATGTCTTCCAGCAAGTCCGTTTCTCCATCTACCCACGTGCAAAATGAGAACCCAGACTGGGCCTGGGGTCACAGCAGGAGGCGAATTCATTAAAAAAAAAAAAAAAAATGCCGCTAATGCTTCCCGAAAAACGACGTTTTTGTCATTGTTGATGAGAAGTCGCCGACAAGCCTTCGGGTGCCACAGCCATGGTGGCTGTGCAAGTCCAGTTTGGAAGAGGCCGGGCCCTCACCAAAGCTGCCTCTGTGACCAGACTAAGAAGCGGGATCTGCGGGTGATTATTCCAGGTGGAACCTCATTTTCTCTGTCCCACGGGGCCGCTCTCAAATTCTTCCTGGGGTTTTGCTCATCTGAAATAAGCCCTCGAAGAAGCCAGGAGGGAGGGAAAAAAGGAGGACGTGGGAGGTTGAGAAACCGGGAAGGGACACGTGTGGCGCCCCCACCGGGCGACACGCTTCCTGCAGCCTGAGCAAACCAGGGTGCGCGCGGAAGAATTTTTCCCCCTTCTGTTTGATAATGCAGTAGAATTTATGGTGCCCGAGCTTTAAGATGTGTCCCCGAGCTGTCAGTGACGGGTGTCAGGGCCTCAGCGAGCAGCGAGGCCAGGGTACCCGATTACAAAACAGTGCCTCGGCGCTGAAGGCAGCGGCGGGCTCGGGGTGAAAGATCGGGTCCAGCGATGGCGAAGGGAGCGATGATGATGGAAATTAGCCTGAGCTACTATTTGTTCGAGATCCACTTAAAAAATGACCAGCAGGGCTCAGAATCTTTTGTCCTGGCTGGCTTTTTATTTAGGATTGTGGAGGAATGGGTTTCATGAAGAGATATCATCTCTGCCTCCCAGGAGACACCAATATTGACTAAGACTGAAAAAGCAAATAGTATCAGATAACCTACTAAAATAAAGCAGGGAAAGTCATTATGCTTTTACTTTATTGATCCAGTTCCTGGCTACATGGGGGAAAAAAACAACTTACATTGTGGAAGCTGGAAATCTCTAAGGCTACAACATGTTGTTAAAAAGTGGTGCATTTGTCTGCCTGTAAGAAACAAGACCTTGTATCGAGCAGTCTGGGGATATGCTTAACACCAGATGAATAATACTAGGCTGACAAGCAGAAAAAGCCTCACAGAGATGGTGTCCCTGCATTGTTGGTTTTTGTTTGTTTGTTTTTTTAATTATTGGATGTGCTTTCTGAATAGATGAAACTGCACTTAAAATGGCAATCTACTCAGTCCACAGATCCGAACGTTAATCTCATCTGGAAACACTCTACAGACATCTAATATTTAGCAAACTATCTGGGCCCTGTCAAGTGGACACATAAAATTAACCATCACTGTGGTCGAGTGGCTTCCTTGCTTGAAACACATCAGTGGGTTTATGCCGCCTTTGAGATATGAACCAAATTCTCTCCTGTGGCTTACAAACTTCTCAGGACCTGGGCTCTGATTTCAGGCTCACCTGTGACCTCGGGCCTCAGTACACACCGTGTCCCTGAGGCCCTCCATTCGATCTTCACCCAGCCCCTCGTCTTTCAGGCATCAGCTGAATATCACTTCCCCTGAGAACCTTTCCTGGGCATCGGTGAGGTGCCTTAACACATGCACCCCGAGCCTCCCCTTCTCCATGACGAAAGGCATCACACGTTGCTATCATTGCTTCCTTTACCCTCTGTCTTCCCACAGGACTCTAGGCCCTGCCCGTGCAGGGGCCTTATGCAGCCGGGCACACAGTAGATATTCAGTAACTATTAATCGCACGAATAAATGAATTAGGATTATACACAGTACAGAGTAAGATTTCCTCCTTGTGACTCCACATAATTAACATATTTGTCTCAATAGTTCCAGGTATGAGAAGTTGTGCCCATTCTGACATTATTACTCTACTTTTCATACCATGAAGTCACTTTGCTTCTTAAAACAAGGATCACCCCTCACCCTGTCAACACATAGGTGAGCCTTCACCAGGAATGGTAGATAAATTTATTCTGATCAACCTGCCTACTAAAACAACCAAAATAATAAACATTTTACAAATATTTTAAATGAATGAATATTTTTAAAAACTGTGCAAGACAATAAAGAATAGCAAGGCCAAACGTGAAGGGAAAATTTAGGGGACAAGCCAGCATGGAAGCTATCTTTGCCATGAGGCCATCTGCCAACCCTAGAAATAAGAACCTATAAGCAACAGAGGGCTTGAACCAAGAATAAAAAAAATTGGGGGCAAAGAATGGAAAAGCTACTGCATAAAAGAAGAAACCTAAGTGGACAATAAATGTAGGAAAAGGGTCAGTGAAATGCAATTGTAGATACACTGAGATACTGCAGCACACCCCTTTCACTGGCCGTGAGGAGGATGGGGGAGGCAGTGGGATCTTTCATACTCCGTCATGAGAGTTTAAATTGGTTGCCCACTTTGAAGAAATTGGCACACGTATCCTGACCCTCCTAAGTAATTAGTTCCAAGCCTAGATTAGGGTAGCTATCGCCTAGAGCAGTGGTTTTCAAGTGTTGGTGTGCTTTACAAATGCCCGGAGAACTTGTTAAAACACAGGTGGCCAGGACCCACCCCCAAGTTTCTGATTCTGTAGGGCCGAGGTGGAGTCCAAGGATGTGCCTTTCTAATGAGTTCCCAGGCAATGCTGATGCTGCCTGCTGGGACCACACTTTGAGAACTACTGCCCTGGAGAAATGTGTGCCTACGCATTTCCTTAGCAAGCAGGCAAGAATGGTTTTAGCAGCATATTTGGTTATAGCTCTAAACTGGAAATACTCAGTGTTCATCAATGGTAAAATCAATAACTAAATGGTGGTACAGTGGAATATTATAGAGCAAGAAAAATGAATAAACAGCAGGTACACAGAGGAACGTGGCTGAATCTTGAGAACATAATGTTGAAGAAGTCAGGCGCAATATGATATATAATATATGATTCTGCTTATACAAAGTCAATAACTTGCAAAACTAGACTATATTTTTTGGAGACGCTTAAGTGTTAAAACTGTAAAAGATAAGGAAAACATGCCCATGTAGGTGCCAAAGACTATAGAGAAAGAAAGTCAGGACAGTGGCTCCCTCTAGAGGAGACAAAGAGCATTGTGACAGGGCTCTGTGTGCTAGATGGTGGGGCTTCTGGAATGTTGGCAATTTCTCATGCTTGACTTAAATGGTGACTACTTGGGAGTTTGCTCTGTAATATTTCATTGAACTGTACATTTATTTTATGCATTTTATATATGTGTTATATTTAATAACAAAGAGGACAGAATGAGCAATATTAAATCTTCCAATCAGTGAACCCAGTTGAAAATTTTCTATATATCATATGCCTGACTTACTTTGTTCAACCTAGTGATGTCCGTAGCCATCATGATGTCACAGTGCAATGCATTACTCACGTGTCTGTGGTGATACTGGTGTAAATAAAGCTACTGCACTGCCAGTGGTATGAAAATATAGCACAGAGAAACTTCCCTGGCAGAGGAGATACCGTGATCACAAAGGTGGTTTTCCCAGGGCTACACTCCCCCATTGCACCCCGGATGTGCTGACCCCTGCGATTTCTCCAAATGTGAGAAATTCGACTGCATAAGGTGTGGTCGCGGGGGACTGCATTCGCACTCTCCCCTGACCAAAAACAAAAAAAAAGCATAGCACACTCATGTACAGTACATAATACTTAATAATAAACAACTATGCCAATGGTTTACGTATTTACTATACTCTTTTTTTTTGGTACGTGCCCCTAGCGGGAACCTAACCCAGGACTCTCTGGTCCACAGGCCAAGGCTCCAACCGCTGAGCCAAACCAGCCAGGGCTATACTTTTTACTATTATTTTAGAGTGTACTCTTTTTACTTATAAAAAGTTTGCTGTAAAACAGTATGCGTGTCATATCAGCAACAGCCTCACACCCCTTGCATCTCCTGATTGCATCATTTTCTCTCGTGCTAGAGCCCGTCTCGTGTTGCTTCGTACAGTAACATGCTGTACAGGGTTATAGCCTCGGAGCAGTAGGCTGCATCATGTGGCCCCTGTGTGCAGTAGGCCATCCCATCCAGGTTTGTGTAAATGTGTTCCACAACGTCTGCACAATGACAAAGTCGTGTAAGGACACATTTCTCAGAATGTCTCCCTGCCATTGAGCAGCACATGACTGTATTAGGGTTCCTTCATCCGTACCTTACAGAAGGATGAAACCCTGGCTGCACATCTGATCCTCTGCCTGCCTCCGATCCACTGGAATACCGTGCAGGAGGACCTACAGCCCAGTTCTGGTCCTTGAGCCTTTCTTCCATGGGGACAGAAGAGAATGCCTTCTGCCCGCCACAGACTATCAGATGCTATGCTGGTTGCTCTCAAGCATTAAAATATTAAAATAGAAGACATGACTCAGGCCATCAGAGAACTTATAATCTAGAGAGACCTATACCAACAACCAGCTGGATAATGAATGAGCATCTTCTTGCTCCAGCTGGAAGCCCCGTGCTAGGTGCAGGGAAAAGAAGTGTCCTGCTCTCGGGGAGTTTGCAGTAGGGTGACCCAAGAATAAATCATAAATAAGGTGAATAGGTAACATCTGAGTCAAAGAAAATAATGATTCAAGCCAAACAGAAGCCTAAGTCTCAGTCTAACACGAACATAACTGGTATCGCACTTTGGAAGTGTATTACTTTCATCGGATGAACGGTTGAGAGCTGCAGCGCTGTGTATACTCACAGGGGTGCACAGTGAATACCTGTGTGGATGGTCCAGAGATGAGAGTCGAGGGGAAGTTTCCATGGGGGTCAAACCGACTCTGTGCCCACCCACAGGCCAACAGCACAACTGCTTCCTCAGTTTTCTGCTTTGCGTTCCAATGCCAACGGGGTGGCACCTGGCGGGCGTGGAGGGTGGGGCTCTGAGGTGGTGTGTTGATATTTTTCAGGACGAGTGAAATGATTATTCAGTGACACAAAGGAGAGAGAGGCACATGACTCAGTGGCTCTTTTTTTTACCCGCTTTTCATTTCTAACTTTTCTCGGCCGACACGACTTTCCGATCTATTTTTCTGAGCATTTGATAAAGTCTTTGGAGAAACAAGCAGGTCAAAGGCTCGAGGAAACATATGCCAGCACCGCGGAGCACATCTCCCGCTCAGACACCCACTTCCAGCCCAGCCACCTGCTGCTCTGCCGGCCCAGGCCGCCCCGCCTGGCCCCCTCCTCCCCGGGCCCTGCTCTGAGGGCCTGGACTCCAGCATCGCTTCCCCTCTCGAGAAACAACAGAAGACAGTTCTCATCGCTGTACCATTTCCTTCCATTTCCGATGTTATGACAAAGTCACTCTTAATCTTGAAAAGATTTAGATTACATTTGATCAATAATGTGCCACTGAGCCCCTGGAGAACAAAAATCACTTCCGGATGTTTCTCCCGACAATCTGAGACCCCCTCAGACGGACTTAATAACTGTAATTCAGCAGAACACTGTGTTAGGCTCTGGGCATTCAGTCCCATCTTTTTAAAGCTGGCTTTTGTTCACAATTTGGGAAATAATATCACTGACCTAGAAAATCACAGGACTAAGGACAGAGATGTGAACACTCGCGAGTGTAATCAGATCTATTCATGCTGGTGTGACGGGGATGGCTCCTCTCCAAGGAGGAAATCATCTCTCCCCATTCAGGACCGACCCCGCGACCCTGAGCCTGGGGGCCTTCGTAGCACACTTTCTCCATTCACATCACAGACCAGCTGGGCACTCAAGACCCTTGACAAGGAGCTGCTTTCCTGATTAGCCCCTTCCTTTGCTGCAGCCCTAAAAGCCCAAGTCCCAGCTGGTCCTACCATCAGATCTGCATCATCTGGTCAAAGAGAAGCTTGTTAGGTACAAGTAACACTTACCAATACCAACCCAAGGCCCCCTAATCCTAACACAAACTTGACCAACAGCTCCCTAGCACTTAGGAACACATTTACAGACAGCCCAAGTCTAGGTGGAACTCATAATAAACCCAGAGACCACTTTTCTGGTGTTTGGGGTTTTAAAGTAACAGGTCTCCGAAGGAAGTCAAACCAGAACTGTCTACTTACACAGCAAAATGGTGCAGGCACCCACAGCCAGGAACACATAAGGTGATCTCGGATAGAGTCTAACAGCACCCCCTTGTTGCAGCCAGGAGGTGGGGACCCAAGGGAAGGCTGTGAGAAGGATGTGGTGGACAGGAGGGTCCAGGAGGGTCTGGAAATGGCCCCAACCCTGTCCACCTGTGTGGAAGACAGACATGCAGGACAGGTACCAGCATATAGACACAGCTTTTGGATGGGAACAACCCTGGGCCTTAGAGGGTGAGACACAGATTTCTGAAAAGGATTTGGGATACTGCTCTCCAGTTCTGCCACCCAGTAAGACAGGAAACAGACTCTGCGATGATGGGGCCAGATGATCATGGAAGTGGCTGTGGGAACCCACAGGGGGCTACATAGGTGAATCCCAAAGTGTTGGGGAGACCTGGGGCCTCACAAGAGTGTCTGCCTCACCATGTGCAAATTGACCCAGCCTTTCTGTGCAGATGTTTGCTGGTAACGTGTTGCATTGCAAGTGTTTCAGAACGGTTCTCCCTCCAACCCGAGCCGCATACTCTGGGAATGTGCACTGAAAATAGACTAAAAAGAAATAATCTAAATGTCCAACCACAGGGAGGGTAATTCAATAAATTATGGCAAGTCATGCCATACTGAAGGGTATAAAAATGTTACCATAGTTTTTAGTGACATGGGAAAAAATACCCAATATGATATTAAGTGAATAAAGTAGCTGTCTTCCTGTGAACAAAGCTTACTGCCAACTGTGGATGTAGAAAAGAGGGCTGTAAGGAAATGTGGCACAGATTGTCCAATATGCCAACACCTGTGCTTTGTAGTAATTATAAGGGATTTTCCCCCTGTTGTATTCTGAAGATTCTACAATTTTTATGGAGATTGCTACTATTTCTATAAATTACATTTATAATTGAAAAACAGGATATTTCAACCTGCTCTGATCACGCCATCGCTATCAACGTCATCAAAACTTATCATTTATAAAATGACTTTCTGTTACTAGAGAACATTCATTATCAAATTAACACACAAAGGACTACAGTGTAGACCAGACGAGATGTGTGGAACAGGCTATCCCCTTGCTTAGCTCAGAGACCTGGAGCAACTCAGATCATCCCCATCTATGACATTAGATTTGAACCATTGCTGAATCACCAAGGAAGCTTCACCCAAACTCCAGAGGAAAACTGCTTACTCATCCCATTAGTCACTTACGCCATTTACAGGGCCAGGGAGGATGAGAGGGTAAAGGGGCTCAAATATATGGTGATCCAAGGAGATTAGACTTCAGCTGGTGAGCACACAATAGAGTATATGGATGTATTATAAAATGTTACACCTGAAATTTATGTAATGTCGTTAACTAGTATTGCCTCAATACATTTAATTAAAAATTATAATATTACTGATAATGTGAAAAACATAAACTTCTTACTCCTGTGGTGCTTAAAATCAAACTAAATTTACAAATTAATTACAAGAAAACTGCCAAACAAACCAGAAAACCCTGTTAAAATTCTTGCTCTGTCACTTCTAGTTGGTGACTTTCTGAACCTTATTCATTCTCTCTCAGGTTCAGTTTCTTTCTTGGCCAAAAGACATTACTAATAGTGCCGATGTGTGGATTTTTAAAGACAGGATTAAACGTAGACATGCTAGATGTTTGGTATACAATTGTTCCTGTCGTCCTGGGGAATAACAGTGGAGGCTGGGAGAGAGGGCTTTCTCAGTATTTGCCTCTTCCCTCTGAACTGTGAGCCGGTCATGGCCCTGAGATGCTTGGCTGTATAAAGCCCTCTCATCATTCAAACTATTGTTCTATTTTAAACAAAATGAAATTCTATGACCTGAGGAAATCTCAAACCATATTCTTCCTTTGACCCGGTGCTTATGTGGCCTACAGTTTGGCATCTATTGTTTTAACTCCTTTTCTTTCACACAAAAGTCCCATAGAGATTGTCAATATATTGTCAATATTTAAGTAATGTTTGAAATGGGAAGAATGAGGATGTAACATGAACACCTTTGCCTAAAATGTGTTGGGAGCTTCCTAGTGGAGCTAAGAACAGAATTATGTCAAAGCTGTGAACTCTGCAGAATACCACTTGTGTAGGCCCCTGAATTCAGATAACTGGTCTATTTTTACCTTGATGCTCCAAGTGCATGCTTCCAGCCAACATTATTAGAGTCCCACCCAGGGCCACAAGATATATTGAGCACATGTTTTATATGAAGTCCTTTGCTCAGTTTAATGGAAGATAATGTAACAATGAGGAATTGTAACCCACCCCACCGTTCTTTTGACGCTGTTTCTATAAATGCTGACTCTGACTAATATGTAGCTTGTAGACAAATAGCATGTTTGTATAAGAATCCTAAGAACTAACTTCAGAAGATACAGACTCTGACCTTCATCCCAGGAGAATTGCTGAACTTCAACCATGAAACCAGGATGATGCACACCAGACCATTGCTTGACCAGTTTTGAGGTCCTTATCAGAATGGACTTTACTGGCCTACAAGTAGAAAACTTTTCAAACCCTTCCCT